GAATTCCACAATCAAGGTGGCTATCGATCTTGTTAATCCTATCGACCGAACCAAGACACCAAGGATTCATGGGAATATAATCCAAGAAGGATATGCTACCATCTCGGTAGATAAAGCTGAAAAAGGTTTTAGTGACTTGCCTCTTGACATTCCTGGAGGTGATGGCGAGAAGACTCTAGGAGAAGCGGAGAAGACATTCATTCTATGGCGCAAGCGCTACATCATCATTCCAGGGATGTCGGCTCCACCTCCTCCTGAACTACCTCACCATAGGTACGTGCGGATGAAAACACTACATCATTAATTTGTATTGGCTTAAATAATTAACAATCTGCTCATAATAATATGTCATTCCTTTTTTTGTAGCAGATCCTCCCCCAACCTAAATCCAATTGTTCAATCGCCAAATCATCTTAGTGCTCTGTACGATGACATTGTGTTGGAAGACGAGGCTGCATCCACACCATCTCCAAGGAGGTCTCCAACGCCGCAGCCGCCACCTCCAAGGAGGTCTCCAACGCCTCCCCCGCCCCCGCCTACCAAGAAGCCTAGCAAGAGGCCAACCCCTCAAACGAAGAACCAGTCCCCGCCTACAAAGAAAGCCACCGTGAAACCAAGGGATATTCCCAAAATAATATCTGAAGAGAAGGAAGAAGGAACTGATGCATATAAAAAAGACATGTCTAGATTCTATGACAAACTTAAAATGAATCAAGAAGCAAGGAGAAACCCGGAGAAACCGTACTTCTTCGTAGCTCCAGATATTCTAACAAAAAAGGTGACTTCTTACCAGCAACAACAGCGGGAATCTCGTAAGCCGTCCAAATCAACGTTATCGGACTATGACCGCACTCTCACCAAGTTAATTGAGGCGGCACAGAAAAAGAAGCGGGCAGGGAAAGGAGTTGCCCAACTCGGACAACAAGCGCACCAATCAATCCCCTCGCTAGTTGTTGGTAATGAATATGGTTCAAATTTAGGATTAATGCATCAGGCAAACATACCTCCGGATGTCGATTTGGATCACCTTGGTGAATTTCTTGATGAGACTGGTCTCGACCTTTACCAGATGTTTGGTGATGGAAACATTGAGAGTGCGGCGGAGGTTGATATTTGGAAGAAAAAATTTGTACTAGGCCAGAGTCTATACAACCCTCAAGCCTTATCTGATCTGGGGACGCAAATGTACCTGCTAAATAAGTGGTACATGCAGGCGTCTACCAGTGGAGACTTCTGTGTTGGTGTCAGAATTAGAGACGAACATTGGTTCCGTGGCGATGATGTTATGTATGTTGACTTTGCAGAATTTCATCAACTATGCCACCTGACCTCTCTGGACAAAGTTATCATTAGCTGCTATTGCCTGTAAGTAATAATTCTTTCGATCTATTATTAAACTCATCATATGTGTGTATATGCATATAAATTATCCTAACAAGTACTATATATATGCAGATTTATAATGACAGAGCTCAGAAAGGAGGGCTGCAATGAAATTGGTTTTGTTGATCCCCATATAGTATTCAAAGACCCAATTACTCCAAAGACTAATTGGAAGAATGAGTCAGAGAGTAACCTCATGAACTTCTTAGTGAACCAACACCACAAGAAGGATATACTCTTTCCCTATAACTTCAAGTGAGTGTTAATCATGTCGATCATCCTTAATGGCTCATATGTTGATTCTAGTTAAGTAATGAGTGTTATGCGTTATATCCTATAAACACATGCAGCAATCACTGGATATTGATGGACATCGATCTGGTGAAAAGTCACTTGATAATCTATGACTCGATGAGAAAACCACAACAAGACTACCAAGATATGATAGATATTATCCAGAGGTAATTTTGGGATCTCTAGCAACTATATATACACACAAACATGATGATTAACTATATCTGATGACGTGGCAAATTTTTTATTGGGCAGTGTTTGGAAAACCTTTATTGAGAAGCAACACATGGAAAAATGCAAAGCGCCACTGAATATAATCCCTTTGAAAGTAAGTCCCCTGAATCGCATCATCTTTATTAATTAAACATATAGTTTTCACCGGATCACTAGATTGGATGACAAATCTTTTTCTCGTAAAGTGGTGTCTGAGGCAGGAACAGGGGAACAACTACTGTGGTTACTATGTTTGCAAGTTTATCAAGGTGCTCTCCCAAAGAACTCCTACAGAGAGACTCAAAGTACGTTAAAAATATACTATATATTCATTTAATTATTATTATTGATTGTGTTACTATGTCTTTATATATATATATGTACATATATTAATTTATTTTTCTTTAATTCAAACCTGTAGACTCGATGGTTGGAGGAAAAGGTCATACGGCAAGACCAAATCAAAGCAATTCAAGAGTCTATAGCCAGATTTTTTAATGAGCAGGTCATCGATTCCAAGGGCGAGTTCTACTTCGACCCAACACTGCCATTGAAGCTAAGCTAGCGGATGAGAGGAAACTTTTTATGTCACAACAACTGTAATGCAATCTTTTGTAATATATGCACATAAAATAATATAATGTAAAATACACATATGCATGCATGCATGTAAATATATATATGATGCATGCATGCATATATATATATATATATATATATATATATATATATATTTCTATGCTTGAATTGTGTGATTTAATACGTTCATTGTGCTTGAACCGAAACATACTATACGCTACAGATATAAATGTATAATTAGCAGCGCATAATCGACGACTTCAAAACCTATTTTGAAAAGAAAACAAAAATGAAAAGAAAAGAAAAAAGAAAAAAACCTTTAGTCCCGGTTCGTATTACCAACCGGGACTAAAGGTGCCGGCCATCGTGGCATGTCAGGAGGCACCTTTAGTCCCGGTTGGTGTTACCCACCGGGACTAAAGGTCCTCCTTTAGTCCCGGTTCCTGACCCGGGACTAAAGGACCCCCTTTAGTCCCGGATGCTTGCTCCCGGGTGGGGAACCGGGACCAGAGGGGGTTCCCCACCGGGAGTAAAGCTCGGTTTTCTACCAGTGAACCGTGGCCAAGTGGCCAACAGAATCAACGAGAGATCCACACAACCACGATTCACGTCACGTTAAATGAAGAAGTGAACGAGATGCACCTCAAGTCCCATAATGCACGTATACGGAAATTAATTAAATATGTCAGGCAACAAACAAATCTCATTTTCTAGATACATAAATACATGCACAATAATCATATTTCAAGTTCCATATTTATCTGCTTTCCAAAAATTTTAAAAAAATAATTCTATTTTTTCCATATTACCTCCTAAATATAGTAGTAGGAGAGTATATATGCTAAAACCCCTCAATATCGATCGACGGTTCACACAGTTCTATATAAAAAACTAAACTGTATTTTTTATATTACACAACATAAAGCCTCGATGGACTGCTACCAAGGTCCTGTTTGGATTCAGTATCTGATACGGAGTACTAGTTAGCTGGCTAATACTTCATTATCTGATTTGGTCTAGATAGTGAGATAGTTGATATCTAAAGGTCCAGCTAACAATTAGCTAATCTATTATCTATACCTGTTTGGATCTAAACAATAATTATTAGCAGATAACTACTATCTATATGGATCAAACAGACCTAAGTATTGATTCCGACAATACGTGGTTCCTTTCTTCTTCTGAAGCAGAAAACTCCGCGGTCCTCCTGTCGTGTGGATCCACGTGCCCTTGTGTGCGTCCAGCAGGGGGCTCCTGCCGCCGTGCAGGTGCAGCACTAGCACTCCTGTCGTGACGTCGAGCTCCGCCACCTCGTTGTATTCCGTCAATGTGAGTAACTGCATCTCGTTGCCCTCCTCGATGATGGTGCAGCGGTGCACTCAGACTCTCGCCCGTCGGATCCAATCGTCCTCACCTTGTCGTTGCCCTCCTCGATGATCCCAACCCAGAAGCGATCGGGCTACCTCTCAGTCGGTGGGCCAAATTTCAAAGGTTTAACAAAACTAGTCAGTAATTTTCATTGAGAAAATCCATGATTTCTATTTTCTTGGGCATACCTCCTGATCATGATTTATATATAGTCACACACCTAGTATTTGTATGATATATTAAATTCGAGTCACCTTGCTTTATGTACTACTTTCCATCATAGCATAGTACTATATATTCTATGTTGTCCCATGACAATGATATATAAGAGGCTGAGCACATCGATTTTGACGTGCAAGGCATAGGTACTCAGGTACAACAGCTTAGCATGAGGAGAAAGATAGCAAGTATATCCTTGTAGATGCTGGAAAGGGCCTCCTTTGGTTTATCAGGAATGGGAGGCAGGAGTGAAGAAGTTAACTATATCAAGTCAAATAGCATGCCATGCAGATCTTGCCCCGCCAATGCCTATCGCGACTGCTTGTATCAGCAACCTCTTGACCTTCGTGCATGGTCTGCATGTTGCCTGTTGTAACAAATGGGCTAGCTGCATTATATTGATGCCTTGGCCTCTCTAGCAAAGACCAGCTACGCGTTAGCCTCTGGGGTACGGTGTACCCTGCAACTTCTGTTACCTAGATCTCCATATGTGCATGTCAATACAGCCTAATAATCTATATATGTACTGTTAGATAATTAGATATTGTGACTAACGAACCTTTACTAAACCCGAGAACTGGCGAGAAGGGTAATGCTGTCCCAGGGCCCAAACTTCCATTAATATAACCATACCTGTTGAGTATAGGTGTACATGTTAGCAGTGGGATTCACTCACTCAGGAAGAAGAACGAATCCGGAATACTCGACTGGAAAATGTGATGTACTGAATATAATTTGCTGGAAGTAGCAGATAAGTGCTTAACGTAAGAGTACTTGAACAGTAATGAACACGGTACATTCCAGTCTCATCTCCCCTCCTCTCATACGCTAGTCTATATACTAATATGTCTAAGTCCTCCATTCTGGGCCGGACAGCCTGACGTTGGGCCAGCGCTCGCGGACAGGCCGGGCCTGCTCACTTGTAGAAGGTTCATCATAGTGTATCACTGGAGCTGTAGCTGAAGTGCTAACAATCCCGCCTCCTTTTGAACCGGCATGACCCCAGGCCGGAGCTTTTGGAAAACACTGCTGCAATTGCTCCAGTTTCTCCCAGGTAGCCAGCGACGGCGGCATTTGGGACCACTACACAAGGATGTCCTCCACAGGTGAATCACCCGGAGTCCAGCGGCGATCCAGTATCCGCTGAGGCACCTGAAACTGGGCAAGATCATCTGGAAGATCAGCAGAGGCAGCTTACCATGAGAAAGCTTGAGCTGTGATACATGGAAGACGGGATGGATTGATGATGAAGATGGAAGAGCCAGCTTATAAGCTGCTGCACCAATACGTTCCAGGATGTGGTACGGGCCAAAGAACCGAAAGGCAAGCTTCTGATTAGCACGACGTGCAACTGAAGACTGCACATAAGGCTGAACTTTTAGGAAGACCCACTCACCAACAGCAAAAGAACGTTCAGAATGGTGCTTGTCGCCCTGGCGCTTCATGCAGGTCTGAGCCCTGCTGAGGTGTTGCTGAATCACCGAAGTCATCAGAGCCCGGTCATCGAGCCAAGAATTGAGATCAGCAACAGGAGTGGCAGTAGGAGGATGTAGGACAAAATGCCGTGCAGGAAAGCCGTACAGTACTTCGAATGGAGATCGACCCAATGAAGAATGGTGAGAAGAATTGTACCAGAACTCAGCAAGGGCGATCCATTGAGTCCATTTGGAAGGACAGGTGTGGGCGAAGCAGCGGAGGTAGGTTTCAAGACACTGATTAACACGCTCCGTCTGTCCGTCCGTCTGTGGGTGATAAGCGGAACTCATACGCAAGGTTGTGCCTACAATGCTGAAAAGAGTCTTCCAAAAGGCAGTGGTAAAAATGCGGTCATGATCCGATATGATGGCTAGCGGCATTCCATGAAGCCGATAGATATGATCCATGAAGAGGCGAGCCACCGTAGCTGCTGTAAATGGATGACGCAAAGGAAAGAAATGAGCAAACTTCGACAGCTTATCGACCACCACCAGGAGTGCATTGGCTAAGCCGGATGGTGGAAGTCCTTCGACGAAGTCCATGCTGATCACTTCCCAGGTGGCCGAAGGAATTGGGAGGGGTTGAAGTAAACCTGGAGAAGGAGAACAGTCAGGCTTGGCGCGCTGACAGATATCACAAGTTCTAATAAAATTTGTTGTGGCTGCATGCATGCCAGGCCAAAAGAAGAGTTGTCACAACTTCTAATAAGTAACTGGTATGCCGGAGTGATCGCCGAGTGGGCTGGAATGCAGAGCTTCGAGCACTTGAGTCTGGAGTTGCTTACTGTGGCCCAGCCATATACGACCTTTGTAACGAATTACGCCATTGCTGAGCGAATATTGTGGTAATGCAGCTGGATTAACTGCCAGCTGAGACAAAATTTCCTGAGCCAGTGGACTGTCAGAATAAGAGCTGGCCACGTCGGACAACAACTGTGGTGAAGAAGAAGAAACGGCCATGTAGACTTGCTCAGTATCTCAGCGCGACAATGCATCAGCGACGGTGTTATCTGAACCCCTTTTATAAACAATCTTGTAACTCAAGCCCAGTAATTTGGTAAAGGCCTTCTGTTGCCAGACCGTATTAAGACGCTGCTCATTGAGATGGGTGAGACTTCGGTGGTCAGTGTGGATGAAGAATTCAGCTTGGATGAGATAGTGATACCAGTGCTCAACCGCCAGGAGGATTGCCAGGTACTCCTTCTCATAAGCAGACAGCCCACGGTTACGAGGGCATAAGGTCTTCCTGATGAAGGCAATTGGATGGCCATCCTGGTGAAGCACTGCGCCAATACCAACCCCACTGGCGTTTGTATCAATGTGAAAAGGCCGCTGGAAGTCAAGAAGCGCCAGGACTGGAGCAGCGCTCAAGGCGGACTGAAGAGCAGTAAAAGCCTCCAGCTGAGAAGATGTCCAAACGAAAGGTGCATCCTTCTTGAGAAGCTCAGTCAAGGGTTGTGCAATGATTCCAAAATGCCGAACGAATTTGCGGTAGTAACCCGCAAGGCCCAAGAATCCATGAAGGGCACGAACTGTTGTAGGTCTTGGCCAGTCCTGGATAGCCTGCACTTTGGAAGGGTCTGTAGCGATGCCTTCAGCGCTGAGCACATGCCCGAGATAGGAGACTGATCGTTGAGCAAAAGAGCACTTGGATAATTTCAGTTTCCATGAATCCCGGCGAAGCCATGACAACACCTAGGAAAGATGGTCGATGTGCTCGGCCAAAGTGCGGCTGTAAATTAAGATGTCATCGAAAAAGACGAGGACAAATTTGCGCAGCCCAGGAGCCCGTGTGCAATTCATCGCCCCTTGAAAAGTACCTGGTGCCCCAGTCAATCCAAAGGCCATAACACGGAACTCATAGTGCCCCAAGTGAGTCTGGAATGCTATCTTGTGTTCGTCTCCAAGCTGCAGCAAAATCTAGTGGAATCCGGCTCTCAGATCAAGCTTTGTGAACCAACTGGCATGAGTCAATTCATCCAAGAGCTGATCAATGACAGGAACCGGATACTTAGACTTAATAATCATAGAGTTTAATTTCCGGAAATCAATGCAGAACCGATACGAGAGATCTTTCTTCTTCACTAAGAGGACTGGTGAAGAGAACATGCTGCTACTTGGTTGAATAAGCCCTTGTGATAGCATTTCATGGACTTGGCGTTCAATCTCATCCTTAAGGGCTGGAGGATAACGATAAGGATGGATGTAGAATGGTCGGGAACTAGGAAGAAGGGGAATGGAATGGTTGCAGTGGCGAGAAGGCGGCAAGGAGTCTGGAGCTTGAAACAAGTCAGTGAATTCATCAAGGAGGGACTGGATAGCAGGAGGATTGGTCAGGTGTACTCTCCATACTGCAGACTTGTAAGAGCAACTGGCTCGGAGCGTCCACCAACTCACCTTGCAAAAGAACAGTGCTGCCCTCATAAGGTATGACCAGCCATTTAAGTTGCCAGTGGACCTGCATAGGACTGAAGGACTCCAGCCAATCCATCCCAATAATCATATCAAATGCTGTGAGTGGAAGGACTCGAAGGTCAGAGGTGAAGGAGACTTGGCCGATAGACCAGGGAACAGCAAGCAGAATAACTGGACTTGTGAGAGTACCACCACAAGCAATACGAACTGTGCACGAAGACTGCTTGACAGACACCGGGCTAAGCTGAGCTGCAACCGACTCACTGATGAAAGAGGTGGAACTGCCAGAATCGAGCAAGATATTCACTGGAAGGCCCTAAACTGTGCCTGAAAACTGAACTGTGCGAGGAGCAGAACTGCTAGTGAGAGCACATTGTGAAAGAGCCAAGAAAACTTGAGGGTCAGAATCAGCTGGGGTGGCTGTATCTGCTGTATGGTCTTCATCTTGGAGGAGATCCCACAATTCCTGGACAACATGGAGCTGGACCTGAGGATTACACTTGTGGTCCTTGCTCCACTTGGCGCCACACTTGTAACAAAGACCCATGCCGCGGCGATATGTTTTGACAGCTGCCAACTTAGCATCAAGAGACATAGTAGCTGGGGTCGGTGTTGCTGCAGTAGGGGCTGGCTGCTTGTCAGGCTGCGGTGGAAGCGGCAAGGGCAGCGCCGTCTTGGGGATCGACTTGTTGGACGTTATCCAATCAATCTGGTATGACGCGCGAGATGTCGGCACCGTGGCCACCTCCTCCTGCACCAATGCCATAGAAATAGCAGCATCCAAGCTTTTGGGTTTGGAAACAAGAATAATTGCTTTGAGTTCAGGTCGGAGGCCATCCACGAAGCGCATAGTATAAAAGAGTGGATCGGTGGTAGCAGAATAGGCCTTAAGCTGATCAACTAGTTTGGTGAAACGCTCAACATAATCAGTGATAGTGGAAGTTTGTTTAATTTGGAAGAGCTGGCGGATGAAGGCCTCATGTTGGTCACGATCAAAGCGATCATGGAGAGATTGACAGAAGGTGGTCCATGTAGCGATGGCCGGTGTGTTGTCGATGGACTCATACCAGCAAGCAGCATTGCCCTCCAAATACATGGAAGCAACGCTGACCTAGAGAGACGGATCAACGGCGTTCATGTGAAAATATTTCTCGCAATTGGAACGCCATAGACGGGGATTTTCACCATTGAATTTGTTGAAGGGAAGTTTGGGAAGGCAACCGGCAGGATGATGAGGAAGATTGTGAGGGGAAGGAGCTTGGAACAGTGGGGCTAGAAATGGTGGACGAGGTGGGATGGTGAGTGAAGGTGGGGAACGATAATGAAGGGGAATAGGAGGACGTTGCAGGGCGGATGAACTAGGCAGAGGAGGAGGAGGATCGGGAGGCTTACCCATGACCGGGACAATCGTCCAGGTCATGACTGACCCAAACCCAACGTCCCAGTGAGACGATGCAGTGCCGTGCCCACTGGGCGATTCGACGGGCGCGCCGGCGAGAGCACGGACGGATGTCGAGGAAGAAGGAATGCCGACACTGGGCCACTGCGGCTGGGCGTCGAACACCTTGCGGTCAGGAGCCTAGGAGAGCTTCTTCACCTCGAGCTTCAGATCATCCACGAGGGCCTCAATCGCCGGGCGCCAGGTACTGAGATCCGTGGTGGCGACCTCGAGAGCCGTGACACGGTCGGAGCTGTCGGTGAGGAGTGTACCACCGCGGAGAGCTTCCAGATCGGCGACCTGCTTGCCGATGTCGATGGCGAGGTCGGAGCATGTGGACTCAAGGGCGTCGAAGCGCTTGTCGGCGGCGGCGGCGCGGTCAGCGCGGGCGTGATCGAGATCGGCGAACCGGCCCTTCCACTGCTCGTCGTGGGCGTCGAATCGGCGATTGAAATCTTCCTTGGACTTCTGGATCTCGTAGAGGATGACCTTGAGTTGGGGATCCATGGCGCCTAGGGTACGACGGAATCTGGTGAAGTGGGTGTGGTGGATTTGATGAGGTTCCAGCGCGTCCGGGGTACGGATCGAACTGGGAGATGGAGCAGGATCGCGGAAGGCGAAATCTGATACCAATTTGTTAGCAGTGGGATTCACTCACTCAGGAAGAAGAACGAATCCGGAATACTCGACTGGAAAATGTGATGTACTGAATATAATTTGCTGGAAGAAGCAGATAAGTGCTTAACGTAAGAGTACTTGAACAGTAATGAAAACGTTACATTCCAGTCTCATCTCCCCTCCTCTCATACGCTAGTCTATATACTAATATGTCTAAGTCCTCCATTCTGGGCCGGACAGACTAACGTTAGGCCGGCGCTCGTGGACGGGCCGGGCCTGCTAACTTGTAGAAGGTTCATCATAGTGTATCACTGGAGCTGTAGTTGAATTGCTGACAGTACAGCAAACACGTTGACTAACAACCGCACGCCACCGCTGAGCGTGGTCACTACGCCCACGACGCCATGTCATGCGGCCGCGGCAGTTGTGGCGCCCTGTGTGGTAAGCCAAACTGCAAGTCTTGTATATGACATTCATTGAGAGCAATACAACGACCTGTTGGCTCCATTCCTTCATGGTATCAGCTGCGTGGGTCTCTTCCTCCTGCTGCTCTCTCGCGCTCGCCGCACACACCGCTGACTCCAGCATGACCGCCGCTCCTCCGCTGCTCCTCCTTCCGCTATCTTCCTCCATGCGCTCACTGCGATCTCCGCAACCATGGATGTCAACCTGCTTTTCAGGGCAGATCAGTCCCACAGTTCCGCCCAGTCCCATGTCGACAGCGACACCGACGCCGGCAGCGCTTCATCACTTCCCCCTCCCCCCACCGCTGTCCTTCAGACGGTGAACATCAAATCCTATGTTCCCATCATCCTTCAACTCACCGAACCCAACTACGCCAAGTGGCACACCTTTTTCGATGCTTTCATCAAGAAGTTCAATCTCGGTGATCATCTTTCCTCTCTGCTGACAGCGATCCAGCGCCATGATCCTGACTGGCGTGTCCTCGATCAGTGCATCCTCAGCTGGCTCTACAACTCCGTCGGCCAAAGAGGTCCTCGCCATCGTCCGTGTACCCAAGCCCACCGCCTACCTCATCTGGACCGCCATCGAGGATTAATTCCATGACAATGAGCTTCACCGCGCCATGTACTTGGAGGCTGAGTACCGCAATCTTGTCCTGGGTGACATGGACATCGCCTAGTACACCGGCCACCTCAAGCAGCTCTCCGACTCTTTGTGACGTTAGGTAGCCAGATGGTGAGATGAGCCAAGTGCTCAATCTTCTTCTCGGCCTAAACTCCAAGTACCGGCACGTCATTTCGGTGATCACAGCGAAGCAACCGCCGCACACCTTCCTCTCCGCTCGCTCCCACTTGCTCCTAGAGGAGCACTACGATTGGGAGCAAACCAAGGATACATTGCCGGACCACCAGCTGGCGCGCCTCCGGCAACACCGTACATCGCCGGTCCTCCGCCACCTCCAACTGCGCCCAACGTCTGGAATCAACAGGCACTGCTCGCCGCTCTGACGACCGCGGGCATTCCACCGACTGGACCGAAGGCCAGCGAGTGTTACCTCTATACCGGTGCATCTTCTCACATGTCTTCCAATGCCGATAATCTCTCCTCTCATCAGCCCCTTCCTTCTTCTCCATCGATCACTATTGGCAATGGCACCACACTGCCCGTCACTCACCGCGCGTCCTCCACCATTGCCACTACCCGCTCGCCACTTCTTCTGAACAACATCCTTGTTTCTCCTTCACTAGTCAAGAACCTCATCTCCATTTGTTCTCTTACCCCTAAAAATAATGTCTCTGTCAAGTTTGATCCATTTGTTTTTTCTATCAAGGACCTTCCAACTCACACGAAGATCCTCCGATGTAACAGCTCCGGCACGCTATATCCCCTGGGCCATTCCTCGCCAGAAGCTTTTGTCGCCGCTACCTCAACTATCAATGTCTGGCACCAGCGTCTGGTACACCAGGCCGATGTCAGCTCCACCAGACACTGTCCAACATGGACTTCAACCCTACTCATCTGTCATATTCAACCTATGAAGCCTGTCAGCATGCCAAGCATGTCAGTCTGCCATTTTCATCTTCAGTTTCAGTTAGCTATGTTCCTTTTCAAATAGTTCATGCTGATGTCTGGACTTCCCCTACTGTTAGCTTTTCTGGTTTCAAGTATTACCTTGTACTTCACTACTACAGCGCAAGGATATAGTAACACCAACTGGTGTTACAATAGGTTAGAAAAAGTGTTACTAGCTCTCTTAGTAACACATTTTTTGTTGTGTTCCAATTGGCCATGTTACTATAGACTGGTTTATTGTAACACATTTACGTGTCTACAGGAACATTTGTCTCATGTTACAATAATTTTTGCTCTAGTAACACTTCACATTATTGTAGAATGCATAGTTTGTAACATATTTATTTATCTATCAGAACATTTGTCTAGTGTTACAGTGATTGTCTGCTGTAACACTTTTTTTAGTTCTAGTAACACTCACTACAAGGTTTTACCCCTGACGCAACGTCAAGTGTTACAATATGCCAAAAATGGTTGCAATAGACAAAATTTTAAAACAAAAAATTGGTTGGGAGGCGTTGCCATAGTAACCGTGGTCTAAAGTTTACACCATGGTTCATTTTGGTAAGTTTTCTCCTATTGCAACACACTGGAGTGTTGTTGCAACATCAGGTAGTGTTGCAAGCCATAGTATAAAGCAACCACCGTGTAACTATTGCAACATACCCGGTGTTGCCAAAGATACATGTTGCCACATATCCAAAAAGTGGCAATAAGTGCACTAGCAACAACAATGGGTGTTGCAATAGACCTTATTGCTACGCATCAATAGCATTGTAATAGATGGACCCTCTATTGCCACACTATCTCTGTGGTTGCATATATTGCCACACCAAATGATGCCATAGTCCATATTGCAACACTTTGTTTACTAGCATCAACAATATTGACACGCCATTAATTTTCATAACAACAATATATGGTCAATAAAGCATTTAGACAAAGGCATTAAACCAGAATATTATTTGTCTGTACATATCATCAATGAAACTATTCAATGTCAAACTCGGCTTAGACACAAGCATTGCTCAAACACATAAGGTATCCGACACACACTTGTTTCTACACATCAAAATTTAATGAGCTATGTCTACCACGGTAGCAAAGGTTGGCTTGACGTTGACCATCCCATCAATGTCTAGCAAGCCATCATCATCGAGAGCACTAGAAGTTGTGCCCACTTCTGCAGAAATAAAAATTTCTGTGAGCTACCCATTGAGTCTTTCTAAATATAATGCACAGTAAGGGCAAGTAACTGGTTATGGAATACAGCTACCCATTGGATCTTTCTAAATATAATGACTTCTTTCTGAGTTCCACAGCTGCAACAAGAACACAGCCAGACTTTCAATCACATGAAGGTTATGGAACACAGCAGGGCCAAAAAAACAAACAGTAGAATGGAAATCAGAAACATCGGCTAATTAAAAGACGGAGTGCCAGGTTGAGTCAAAATCAGGACAGGTGATCCAGTTAAAAACAAGAGAACTTTAGTTTCACTGATTGATATCAAGGTTCTGATGACACCATATGCTGATTCCAAATATGTTAAAATGCAGAGTAACAATTGGAATTAAGTGTGACCGACTCATTTTCAGTAGCTAATAATGACCGACTCTTTTTCCTGCATGATCTTAGTTGTATTCTGATTGTACTCCTATCTAGCTGTAGTATGGGCTTTGCTTATAAAGCGTAGTGGAGCACCCAGATAAATAATTTCTAATGGGTTTGAGCACTTCATTTTCTTCTGAGTTGAGCATATATGACTAGCTCCATGTGAATACATAGCATGCACGCTTACTCTATTGTATATTTTCTAACCAAATTTACATATTATCACATTTATTCTATTGTAATTTATATTTATTCTATTGTGATAATAACTAAATTTGATTAAATAATTCTATAAATTGTCACAACAACATATTTTGAGTCCATAAGTGTTCCATAAAAATTTCAAGCGATTTTAATAAAGTGAGACTATATATCCTTCACAAATAATAACATATCTCACTTAGTTATATAACTCTTTGTGAAATGTGTCCATTTGTGAACAATGTGTAGTATTATTTTGTTAAAATCATTTGAAATTTTTATGCACTGATTATATACCAAAATCATGTCGTCATGCAAGTATGTAGATTTTTCCTAACCAAATTAAATATTATTACATTTTATTTCTAGTAATTCTACGAATAATTACAATAGTAACTAAATTTGGTTAAATAATTCTAGAAACTAACACAACATATTTTTGGGTCCATAAGCATTCCATAAAAAAATTTGAAAATTTTAATAAATTTGGACAATACATCCTTCACAAATAGAAACATCTCTCACTTAGTTATATAACTATGTGTGAGATGTCTCATTTGTGAACAATGTGCAGTACCGCTTTGTTAAAAGCAATTGAAATTTTCATGGCATGGTTATGTATCAAAATCATGTTGTCATGCAAGTTTGTAGATTTTCCTAACAAAGTTTAGATATTACTACTTTTGAATTTCAATATAATAGAAGTTTAGACATAATTTTATGACCATAAATGAAATCAAATGAGTTCAGTCATTTTCTCACACGAGTTGGTTTGGACAAATAAAAAATTTATCAAATTATCAGAATTTCAAACAAAATTTGGGTACACAAATGATTTCAAATAAAAAAGTCATAAACTAAAAATTTTAGAACTCATCTAGATCTACAACTTCTATTTTGGTGGTTTCTTCATTCAAATTTATTTGAATAATTCAAAATTTGAATATCAAAATATGGCAAGGTCTCATTCTCCAAACTTAATAAACAAAATAACCAATAAACATGCAAGTGGTTTAGTTGTAGTGGTGGTGTTGTTC